TCTTTTGCCACATACACTGTCCCTACCTCCCCTGGGTTCCGCCCGCAGTTTCCACAGCTCTGATTTCAAGGGGAAGTAAAGATGATGTGACAGGAAATCATCCACACTTAACAGTAACACAATAGCCTGATTCTTGCTCCGAGCCACAAAATGGGGCCAGCTGTACTATTAAATGTGGCGAGGTTGTTTTCAGGCAGAGCTGCTCCGGATGAAGGACAGACGCTCCAGAGGTGAGGCCCACACTGGAGCTTCCCTCCGCCATGTTCCAGGAAGTGGCTTGGCCTCCTGGGAGAATAGCAAAGCTAATGCCACTGCCAGAAGTCTTATTTTGGGGTTCTCTGAGGGAATATGGTCTGAAGCTATGGTTCTCATGATGTGTAAGCAATTTTGTGTTAAATAATTTAATTATACTACTTAATTAATTTATAATTATCAGACAATAACAATGATTGGAGAATAATTAAATAAATGTCATGTAATCTTGAACTTAAAGATTTGCTTTGCCTATTTTAAATTCCTTTACTTTAAAATATATGGTTTCTCCAATTCCAAAATAATCCAGGATAGATTAGAGAGATACATTTATTTTATAAGAGGTAGGTTATTAATAATTGTAGAGTGCTGAGTTACTTTTTCCTTTAGAGATATGATATTAAATATAAAAAAATCTTAAAGCTTATATGCTTGCAAGATCTATATACCTTTCAACTCTCTCCTTATGTTAAATTCTCCTATTATTTACTAAAAAATCAACATATTAAATTTTACTTCACATTATTGAGAAGATAGTTTTCTTTCCATGTGTGTTAATTTTATTAAAAATTTCAACCTTTATTGTAAATGTCAAATTTAGATTTCTTTTTTCAACTAAAGGTTGAGGTTTATATTTAAAAAATGGCTTATAATTGTTGTTTTGGAAGCAATGTTTTTATGCATTGCTTTTGTATATTAGATTTTTCTGTCAGGTAGAGAAATATCAAAAAAGCAAAAAGTACTTGCAATACATGACTTTATTTATAGAAAAAATACCTCAGGACAATTTAGATTTCATATACTCATGCTCAATAAGAAAAAGATACTACTGAGTCTGTGAAACACATAATTTTATAAACTTTCATGGACACCCTGAAATAAATGACTTAAAACACTTAAGAATAGCATGGAGAAAACTACATATTGCCATTGACTGAATTCTTCAGGAAAGTTGAAAATAGTGTGTGTTCTTCAAGGTTACGTTTTTGTTTTGGTAGTATTAAGTGTTCTTAGAAGGTTCATAATATTACTGTGTAATGAAGCATACAATTTCTATAATACATCTAGTACACAATTTTCTCTGAGCATATTAATATAATTTATTTTATTTAAATTCGATACACATTTACAAGTCATAAAAAATCATACTTCCTTAATTTTACTTAAAATGTTAATGTGTTTTTTGTTTGCGAGTTATTATCTCCTGCTAACTGAACTTAAGAAGTTTAAATATAATTAGTATTAAAAGAAGATTGAATTAGGTTATGTATACTCTTTAAAAATAAATTTAAAATACATTGATAAATTCAGGGTGTTTATCAAGCATTTGTTTTAGAAGGTAAAAATGAATGAAGAATTCTTGTCTTCTAAGGGCTAAATGGTAGAGCACTTGCCTAGCATGTCTGAGGCACTGGGTTTGATTATTAGCTCTTCATATAAATAAAATAAAGATCTGTTGACAACTAAAAAATATATATTTTTTAAAAATTCATGTTATCTACCAAATCCACATGTAGACAGCTTTCTGTACTTAATACACCATTAATATGAGTCCTGCATGTATCACACATACTTATTAAGATAACATGGCATGGGTACTCAAAGGTACTCTGAATTAGTGGAATCCTCACATCCCCCACTAAAGGAACGTTCTATGGCAAGTTGTACAATTAGCAAATATGAACCATCTCAATTTCTATTTCCCAAACTCAAAAGACTTCACTCTCATCTCCTGGTCTCATGGGTGTCGTAACACACAAGGACACACACACACATATAATCTCTAATTTTGTTTATGGTTGCATATAAAGGTACATAAGTAGATCACACACACACACACACACACACACACACACACACACACATGTGGATTGATCCACTGATGTGGATTAACTGGGCAGAACTGTAGGCAGATAGATGGGGCTGGAGGAAGGAGGCAACTGGTTATTTCAGGCAGCTTTTTCAATTCTGTGACCAAAAACATCTGAAAAGAACAACATAGTGGGGAAAGTTTATTTGGGGTCCGTGATTTCAGAGGTCACAGTCCACAGAAGGCCGATCCCATAGCTCTGGGCCCACGATGAGGCATGAAGGGCGTGGCAGAAGGGCGTGGCTGAGGAACGAAACTCAGGGCATGACAGTCAGGAAGCAGAGAGAGTCTGTTCACTAGGGACAAAGTATAAACCCCAAGGCATCCTTCCAGTGACCTACCTCCTCCACCTACACCCCCTGTGCCTGCAGTTAGGGCCCAGCTGATCCATGTCAGTGGACTAATTCACTGATCAAGTCACACCTCTCATAATCTGATCATTTCACCTCTGAAAATTCATGCATTGTTTAACACAGGAGCTTTGGGGAGACACCACAGCTAAACCGTAACACTGGGGGTGTGAACTTGGGGCTTCTATTTTGTCTCTGGTGAGCAGACCTTTCTCTTTGCTTCCTGCTTGCCCTGATCTGGGTGGCTTTGCTCTGAAAGGCTCTTCTGCCATGAGGTTCTGCCTCACCTCAGGCCCCAGAGCCATGGAGGGTGCCCACGGTGGACTGAACCTCTGGAACAGTGAGCCAAATCAAACTTTTCCTCTCCTACCTTGTTCTTGTCAGGTCTTTTGGTCACAGCAATGAAAAAGCTGACTAAAACAAAGTATAAATAAAATCACATGGGACCTTTGAAGTTAAAAGAAAGCGAGTTTGGTTATTCTTGGCAAGCCTTTTTAAAAGAGAAATTGAGAAAAAATATGCTAAATGTAACCTTCAAGATAAATACAAATAACAATTTAAATAAAACACGATTACACAAAATTAGAGAAAATATGAAAATTGTAGAAACAAGAAAGCTTTTTACTAGTTGAACATAGTGCTGCTTGTCTGTATTGCCAAGCAACTAGGAAATCTGAAGCAGAAGGATTGCAAGTTCAAGGCCAACCCGGGCAATTTAGCAAAAACTGTCTTAAACAATAAATGGTACTGGGGATGTAACTCTGTGGTAAAGTACCCCTGAATGCAATGTTTAGTATCAAAAAAAGTAAAAGCATAACACTGATAAAAATTATTAGAAGGTGACAAGAATGTCCTAATGTGATAATATTTACAATTAAAGTGGATGAAGACTATTTCCTTATTAAAAGTGAGAATTGTAATATTTAGATTAAATAACAACCCAGAACCAGTCATGAATTTTGAATGAGAGACCAAGATGAAATATATATGTAAAAATTAATGGGGTGTGCATATAGATGTACTAATCTTAATGGTAGATAAATGTGAACTGAAGGTAGATCTTCAGAATTTAATTCAAAATGTTAATCAGATAGCAGAAAAATGTCTTTGGAAGTTGTGGTGTCCAAGAATACATAAGAACATGGTCTTATGTGTACGGAAAGCCCATATCAAATGTATATAAAGTAAAAATTATTTAGAATATATGAGGCAAAAATGATAAAGTATAATCATACTTGGAGACTTCTATTTAATTTTCAAATACCAGCAGATTAAGTAGACAAACATTTGAACAAACTATATTAAAACATAATTAATGGATTTTTATAGATTTTGTACCAAATAAATACAAGAACACACATTTCATTTGATTTTGTTCATATAAAAATACTTTAACTCTCAATATATAAGCTTTAAAAGCATACAAAATTAAGGCACTATGTTAGAAGAAAGAATATTTATATTTGGAAATAAAGGAAGATATAATAATATAGTTTAGCTCTAGTAGTATATTTCCAAACCAGGATGGTTAGTTACAGGGATATGTTCCCTTTCTAATATTTATCAAACTGTATAGATTTCTGTGGTTTTCTTTATACTTGACTAGATGCTAAACTTTTGGTAAACTTTCAAGGCATTCCCAGTTAAAATATAAGAATATATAAAGTACCATGAAGAAGAATAATTAATCTGACAGATTAAAAAAGAGTTGAGATGACAAAACCTGAATTTTAAAATTTGATTAACTTGATGGATATTATCTGAAAACCCCTAAAAGAATATCCTTTGAATGCCTTTATTATTATTCCAATATTTTCCCTTACTTATTCTTTATGTCTTCTATTTCTTTGTTGAGATGTTCAATTTCTTTCTTCATCTTCAACATTTTTCCCACTTGTTTAATGTGCTTTTACAATTGCTCATCAGAGGATTTTTCTCCTGGCTGACTTGAAGTCTGACAGTTCTAACATCTTAGTTACCTTAGTGTTGGTGTCAGCAGGGAAAAGCAGCTGGTCAGTATTTGTCCACCAATTGTCCATTTTCATTCAATTTGTGTTTTTTTTTTTTTTTTAAGCTTTCACTTTGATTGAAAGCTGAACATTTTGAGGGTGTTAGGAGAGGCTGGCATTTTGTTATCAGCAGGTGAATGAAGAAGTCAAAGTTCCCCAGGTTGCCTCTTTGACATTGAGGTCAAAGTCTTCTTGCCACT